GTAAAGCACTGCATAGTATATAACTGCGCACTGGATAAAGGGGAAATGTTTATTATCAACAAATCTGGCACAACCGTCAGCCACAGTTACTAAAAAATAGTAACCTTGAGTCAGCCGACATCTGTACCTCTGTTCATGAAAGTAACTAAACGTTCTGGCAGTGGAGAATAGCGGTTGCATCACGAATCTGTTTAGGGTGCACTCATTGGTTGAACGGGAAAGAGAATTAGAATCAGAATCATTTAAGCCTTTTTCTGCTACCAATCAGTTTACTGAAAAATAGCCTCAGAAACTGGTTTTGTTTAATTTAGTTTTTATTGGAAGTTTACCGATTTAATACATCAGTGGTGAATGAATGGTAGTTTTTGCTTAGTTACTTTTGTGTATTAGACACACATGCTGTAGTGTTGGCATCTACGCAGATACTAAAATGACTGACAAAGGCATGTCTGTATATAGAAAAATGCAACTGTACAAAGAGTAAAACAAAAACTCATTCTACACAATTCTTTATTCGTATGGCAATAATTGTTCACCTTAAAAAAGCCCTGCAGTGATTCAAAATAAAAGTGACACGCCATGTACATGATAGCATACCTCCCCACCATGGCCAATACACAGGCTTGTGTCATTCAGAACAGTACACCCATACTTGCATTAGGCCATCCAAGCAAACAAACCTTTAAAAAAAAAAAAAATTACCTATTTTATTAAGTTATGCCAGAACTTCTGCTCTACAAACTGACAGAAGTACTAGGGCAAGTTCTTAAGATCCTGTCTGCTTAACACTATGGTTACAACTGAACATGGTTTGGCATTGGATAAGTGGATATATAAATTAAGCAGGGCACAATTTTCTCCTAACATCCAACAAGGAATCGTAGTCCTAAAACTGATCAAATTTTCCTTGCAATAGATTAAAGATTGTTATTTTGAAATTGGAAAGAACTTACTGAATTTAAAAGATAGCCATCTCGTTCAACCCCCACATAGGTTTTCATTGTTAGGTTACATAGGGAAATTTTGATCACTATTTACGACAAGGATGCCTCGTTTTCAGGTGAACACTACCCTCCTCACATTACAGAGCTTACCTTTTAACACATGCACTGCTCACTTAACTATTATAGCATGGTATAACACCATCTCATGCAGAATTGTAATTATTATCGTAACTATGATCGACCAAGAAATATTTCGGTTTTGTCAAATTATTGTATTTTGCACGCCTGCATAAATAAACCATGTAAAATTGGGTGTAACATGCATCGTTGTAAAGAAGTCATTCCATGCCCAGTTATATCAATAGCATCCTTCTCCAATACGAATACTGTAAAATCTGTATTAGAAGCCGTTGCTTCTATTAAAATAGTACAATGCAACAGAGGGGATGCGGCTTTTATTAGAGCATCTACACGTACGAGAAATGGTGAAATTGTTAAAAAAGAATGGATGCGGCTTCTAACATAGAATTTACGGTGATATAATTCCCAAGAAAACTGCATCTTAATACTGTAAAATACTTTATTTTAGCTAGAATTCATTTTTGCTGAAATGGCTATTTGGGTGTTTTGTATAGAATTTATTTTCACCGATTTTTGACAAATTGAATGTAAAATATAGAAAACGTATATTCGCTGGATTTTATTTTCACTGAATCATTCCTGCAGTGAAAATAAAGTATTTTACAGTAGGCATGTGATTTCCAAATTAGCGAAATCCAATTATATTAAAAAGCTTGGTCACTGCGAAAATACTCTGGGTTACTCTAAAACGAGAAATAATTTTGGTTGTTAAACCAGAATAAGTAAGCATATCAAATTACAAGGATACACCACAGGCCATATTGATATTAACCTCTAGCATTAATACGATTACAGAACATCAAAAACAATATACATTATAGGAATATACAGAGTAACATACTGGCATTGGAAGTCAAGGTAATCTATTTACATCAGTCTGCAGAATAAAATGCTAGTTGCACTTCAAAGAGAAATCAAACACTTGATCAGAGATATTGCTACTCCATCCATAGCTCTAAAGATACCCCACCCCACGCGGGGCACATCTAAAGCAGAGCATTGCGTAGTGACACGTACATTAGAGGAAAGTTAAAACAGAAAGGCATACAATTAAATGTGTGCATTTATAGAAAACAAAATCTCATTGGCACAGGCTGAAAATAAATTTGTGACTATACACAAAACTAAACCTTGTACCTCTCAATCCCACTCTACCACAAATAGTACAAAGTGAAAATGTACTAGTAACATTTTTTAATTATCTGTGATAGCCATACATTGGGGCAACTTGGATTTGGAAAGTCATTTTTCAACATTCTCTTCCACATTATCAAGTTACTGAAGCATACCAAAATTACATTTTCAATAACTTAACAAAGGAATCGTGAATTCACAAATGCCCTGCCAACAGCTTCAAAAAGTGGTTCACAAGTGTGTGCATACTTATTTGATGCCATCTCATTTTAAGTGCACACTAGTATTCTCATGATACTCTAAATACATACTTCAGATTTCTGTAATTACATGCAAGTGATGTAACATGCCAGTAAAGCAGTTTACTCAAATCATGTTCAATAAATATTGAAATCAGATAATTTTGTTGTGATAGTTTACAGCATCTTAGGGAGTCCTCAAGTCAGTGCAAATTTTGCAGGCAATTTTTAATTCCAAATATTTCCAAGTATTGTACATGGTTGATTCACAATAAAAAAAATGTTCCCTCCTAGACTCTTTTTTTTTGAATTTGTAAGACTGCTTTTATTGGCATTGAAACAGAGTGGACATGAACTTCAAACAGCAAGGCATGCCAGAATGTCAGACTGTCAAGACCTGAAATTTGAAAATCATGTTGATGCAGAGTCGTCCATTTTGAAAGTAACTTCACATACAAAACACTACAAGTTTTAAGAAAGTGTCCTTGGAAAAAAATGTTATAATCTGAGTAAAAAACAGACACCAGAGTAAATACTGGCCAGTATGTGTACAAATATAAAAAGCAGTTCAAGCTATCTACGCTAAGTCCTTCAAAGATTACCAACACAATTCAGAGTTGTATACAAGAAAGGTATTTGAAGACAGTTTGACCATTTGCACTAATACAGGAACAACTCCTGAACGAACTAAGCTAATCTGTTTTTTCTCGTCAATAATAGTTATGGCTAGTTTAAAGTGATGTCACAAAAAGACATCCAAACTCGTAAAATGATAGATAATCTTATAATTTATATACAATGAAACTAAATATACTTCAAATATGTATAAACATGCAGGATATATTAGTCTAAGCCATATAACCCGTATTTAGGTGGCTAGGTGTGTTAACATTGGCAACCACATGGCACACTGTATTATCATAGTTGCATTTGATCCACGGAAAGCAGTATTTAAATGTGGATCTGACGTAATATACACAAGGAAATGTAGGATGTCAGATTAATTGTCCTCGACAACAAAGCATTCAATTTTATCTATGCATACTGTAATTTATTCGCTGGTTTTTAATTTTGCTATTTCAATCGTTGAGTAAAATCCATTTCAGCAGGTACAATAGAACTCGTCTGAATTTAAAATACCAGTGAATATACTCAAAATATCTAAATAGTGAAATTAAATACCAGTGAAACAATCCTCCTACAGTATTAAGCAAGATTGAATACCAGTGAAAAATAATGCTCTTCTATTATAAGCATATAACAGTGTCTGCCATAATGTCAGAAAATCTTTGTTATTCAGAGAAAAAAAAATATTTTTTTATATGATTCATACAAGCCTATATTATCAATTTAATATTTACTGATGTTAAAGAGTATGCTCAGCAAGTTTTTTTTTTTTGAAGGGGGATTTTTTTCACTTGCTGCTGAAAAAATTAACACAAATTTAGGCAAACCTTTGGCAGCATAAAAAAACTTGGTTGTGTTCAGCAACAACTTAATGAATTTTTTGTTATATTTCTCCACAAAATTAATACAATACTTTTCTTACCAAGGAGAATTAAATTGATAATACATGTATCTGTTCATAAACACAAAAATAAGACTTTCTCAGAAAAATAAGTTTTCGAAAATTAGTCAAGACTCTGTTATAAGTACATGTATTAGGGCTTAAACTTTGTTGAGGGCGGCCATTGTTGAGAGAGCGGCCATTTTCATTAACAAATTTGACGAGATGGTCTTTGTCCTACAGTAATGGTATGGAGAATAAATTTTTTTTTTTTGAAGGACACCAAACCAAACTCCTAAGATATCTCTAAAGTTCAAACTCACTTATTTGGTGCATCAAAGTTCCTTTTGTCAATAAACCAAAGCCTTTCAAAACTGTGTTTGCATGTGGTCAAATGAAAACCACCTTTTCCCTTCCCTTAAAGAAAATGCTTCTTAAATTTGCTGATACCAAAAACTTGTTCATTTAAGCATTTACATTGTCAAGACTATCCACTACTCACATATATCATAAACTATTGAAGTCCAAATTAACAGTATAATGCTCAATATATATATAAGCAAATTATTAATTACATGGTCTATTCTGTCTCCTTCAATGAAGAAAAAAAAATACAGATATTTACTGAATCTGTGTACAAAATATGAGGTACAGGTTGTTTATGTTTGATAGCAATCTGGTTTTATCACACATGAGAAGTGAACTATACAGATTCTAGAAATAACATGGACATGCAACTGAGATGTTTTCATTGATTTAGCATCGATTTATGAATTTGGACTTCACAAATCATAACACACCTTTTCTGACACATTGCCCGAGTATGAAGAGTGTTTCCCAAATTTTAAATCAGAATCAGCCAGCCAATGCTCAGCAATGAACCGCTAACGTCAAGCGGATTCACTTGAAAAAGCAAAAACTGGAATGAGCTATTTTAACTCAATCACAATGAAGCCTTTTAAAAAAAACAACTCCATCATCCGATGCACTTAAAAACGTTTTCCACCACTTTGATAGTTGACATTTGCTGCAGTCCATATTGATTCTAATATTTGTGGGCGAGCTAAAGGCAATAATGTATGGAGATATCCAGTTGAACATACTGCAGTGTACAACAGAGCTAGGGAAAAAAAGTCAACGCACGGACCCATTAACAAGATTAAAACAGACCTACATGTGAAGACATGCCCCCCTCCCCACACACACACTGACAACAAAATCTTGGACATGAGTAATAATTAAACCAACTTTTTGACAATATATAAAATCTGGAAACGTAATAATTTGAAAGGGGAGTTGGGCTGGACTGAATTTGGCAGGAGCCGTAATTGATGCTAAATAACTGTATCCAATTGTTTCCCTGCAAGACCCAAACCTTGGGCTTGTAGTTCACTACATTGTTCAAGGCAGGAGAACTGAATTATATTCAAATGAGGATTTTGAAATTCATACAGAAGTGAATGACAGGCAACTTTTGCGTTGTCGATGCTGTTCGAGAAATACAGATTTTTTCTGTGTAATACTACAATGCTAGGGCAGTTTTATAAAATTTGGCTTTGAAACTGGATGGCCTCTCAAAAGTCAAGCCCAACTGAACGAATGAAATGCAAGTTATTACCCGGGGATGGGGTGTAATTGTGCGTATAATTTCATAGGAAATGGTCAGAACAGGGAGAACAGAAACACCTATTTAGTACCAAAGGCTCAATAGTCCAACTCAAGGGTTTCAATAATATATTGTGCTACATAATTTATAACTTTTTGCATCTATATTTTGATTGTTTATACAAGTGAAAACAGATTATTATACTGAATTTATATCTTCCTACAACGTTTAAGACACAGGCCTGGTATTCTTGTAGTTAGCACAGTGCAAATGTTCCTTGTCATGAATAAACAGACATGTCAGACGCGGCCGCTCTTCATTCTGGGCAAAAGAAACAGTGAATTTCGACACTGCAGTGTTTGGAATGACAGACAGGGCAAATCCATTTCCACCAGGGATGTTACATTCCAGATCATAAATAAAATGACGAATCAATTCACGAAGAAATCCACCATGGCTGACAACTAGGATATCAGCTGTTAGCAAGACGTCATCGCCGAGATCTAAGACTGGGTCCGAATCGCATCGTTTCATGACCACAGGTTGATTTGAATTAGGAGTGATGACAACATTGGGTGTGATGTCTTTATAGACTTCATTATCAAGCACCACATTTTCATCGTCTGAATCTTCAATTACAAATTTAGTTCTATTATCATCCTTATCCTCATCATCACTTGTGACCTTTGCCCTCTTGATAGCACCGTCGCTTCGACCCTCAGACGACGCACTCAATGTTCGCTCTCGTCTGTACATGCCATGACGTCTGTAATCAGAGTCGACCAACTCATTGCCAAAGGTATTACTAGGAACATATACACTTGTAGGAGTTGATATGCCAGGCTTGGTATTGTCACATGGGATTTGTTTCCCTGCAGATCTTTCGAGAAATGAACACGTGGTTTTCATCGGGATGGCACTGCCACCTTTAACACTCTCCTGTTTATTCAATTTTAATGAACCCTCTAAACCAACATCCTCATTGTCCTGTCCATCTTTTATTTTCACAGAGTCTGTCAGCGCAACATTTGCAGTGATTTGACTGGTATCCACATCAACTTGCGTCGTTTTTGAGGTGACCTGACTAGCATCAACACTTTCAGTATTGTCTCTTTCACGATTAAAGTTTTGAGTAGAATCTTCTAAATCAGATTCTGAATCATTTCCCTGAGTATTGTGATTAGATCTCACATGCACCTGTAAAGGTTTCCCCCCACTTGGCACAAGTACAGTCGCAGCTGCATTCCCTTGTGAAGCTGCGTGCATATCTGCTCGTCCATTTGGATCAACATGATAGAGAAAATTGCTACACCCATCAGCAGTACCCGGCGGCTGAAGCGTCCTATTTGTATTGCCATTACTTGGTGTAGACAAGTTTTCAAGTTTTCTACCGACGACAAGTTGGCACAGTTCCTGGAAGAATACTACAGCTCTCTGTCTTACCTACAAAATCAAAATAACAGTTACAATGAATAGAAAAAGTGACAACTGAGAACAGAATAGTGTAATCACTTCTTGTATGTGTGTAGATTGAATTTCCAACATTGCAAAAAAACTGAAAACAAAATTTATTCAAAGAACGCTGTTTAGCTGAGTAATATGACTGTATTAGCTTTATTTAGTAGCGTATATATTTGGGTATTTGAATTACAGTGATTTTTCCATGCTCAAAATAAAGTAATGTTTTAATATACAACCAGAGCGATTATTAGCTTCTATGTGCTTCTCTCAGAGGTGCGCTTCTAATTGAGAACAAGCAGCCTGATGGTCGAAATAGTTCTATTGTCTTCTAATATTACAGAAAAAACTATTTTAACAGGAGTCAAACAAAAATACAAATATCAAGTACATGTATGAAAGTAAATGAAGACAAAAATATTTGCTAAAAATAGAAAATTGAAGATATCATCAAGAAATAAACAAATCTGACAAAGGTCAACCCAAGGTCCATTTGTACCTACATACCAAATATCAAAGCAATTGACCTGATAGTTTTCAAGAAGAAGTCAAAAATAGAATTGTTGATGAACGACTGACAATTACCTACAGGAAAAGCTCCGCTTTGTCATCTTTGAAAACTGTACCTACATTTCTCATGAAGCATATACAACAGACTATGTATGAAGAAAGTTCAAGTGTTCATTGTTACTGTACAAACTTACCTGATGAATAGTTTCAGCACCAGGGGGATTATAGTCTCGTATAGAGACTTTTTGTCTTTTGGCAGCTTTGCGTAGTTCCTGAATTGGTTTTCCTTCTATATCCCCATATTTCTAATACAAAGAAAGTAATGTTGTTATGGACAATGTGCAATCACTGAGACATTCCCTCACCGCCAGACTTTCTCGCCATAATATTTCTGTACTTTCTTATATTCTTCAATATTTTTGGAAATAAACCCTAATTTTGGAGCCAACAGGCAATGTTTGATTCAGCTACAATTTTTTTCTCAAAAAATTTGGTTATTTTGGTTCCAATCTCCTGTAGGAAAGAGCAGGCTATAAACAGGGCTAATTTGGAAATTGTGATGAAAAGGGGAGACTGGTGGTAAAAAGGGTAAAGACAAAGTTTTAAACATGAACCAGTTTGACAAGGAGTATTTGAAAAACAAATGGCAGCATTCTTTCATGAGCCTTTCAAGAACAGTGGATCCACCTTGCTTGAATTTTAAAGAAAACTATAGATGTTTTTAATATGTCAATTATATTGATTATAATAAGAAATAAGAGTCAACAAATTTGCAGTAACGCATATGCAAATTAGTAAAAACACATATGCAAATTAGCAAAAATACATATGCAAATTAGCAAAAATACATATGCAAATTTGAAGAAATATGTATGCAAATTAGCAAAAATACATATGCAAATTAGCAAAAATACATATGCAAATTAGCAAAAATACATATGCAAAATAGAAACTAATTGACGTAACACGCATTAGGTTAAAAATGTCCGAAAACGAGTGTCCCTGAGCGGCAATGAAGAGACCATCCCTCTCTTCAGATTGTTAATGCTCTGGAAAGTACCAAGCAATTGTCTTAAAAATATTAGAATGCATTCTTACCCGTTCTCTCAATCTTGGATCCTTTGTCAGTGGAACACTTTGACATGTTTTACTTTTAGATACTATCTGCTTAGCTGTCTGTATAAATGAAAAGAATATGTTCGTGAGTGAGTGAATCATTCATATCATTCATTATTACATGTAGAAATAAAAACCATTTGTGCCCTTGGAAGCACAAAGTTGATTATTTACAGAGTACCAAAAAACGAAAATTCATGAAACCCCAAATGAGAGTCACAGTGGACTTGTCGGTGTGAACGTAGGCCTATAAAAACTAGACACCCGTACTAATGTTGTACAAAACATCTATGAAATGAAATCCTGAAATGATGTTCTGAATGTAGTTTAAGCACTGGACTACTAACTTGTATCTTGCTTCAGCAAGTGTATAAGCAGTCAACTGCATTGTAAAGAATCAAAGTTGCATACATGTGGCCAGTAGATTGTGCAAACACAATCATACATATAGATTAAAAGGCCAACATGTCCGAGACAGGTTTTAGGCATGCGTCAGATGGCCATAGCGTGTCATTGTTCACAAACAAGCATCTAACCATGAGCCTTTGCATTTTTAGTGTGTGTTGTTATCGTCACTTGGGGAATGCGCTTTAAGTTTTGCAAAACTTGCATCAATATTAGTTAGGAATAAAAATCGACCTGTCCATTTCTGATGAATAGTTTCGTACACGTTTACAGACTGATTTTTGACTAAAATAGCTTTCAATTCATTAAATTTGATTGAATCACAAAATAACAAATCTAACTGTGAGGATAGTACTTGTATGCAAACTTTAATCTGAATCAGACAATGTATTGGTAAGGAATCAGCACAGACATGAATTATAAATAATGGCCATTTTTGTTCAAATTTAAAAACAAAATTGACGTGCACCTATAACCCAATATGCATGATCATGATATAAAGATTGAATGAAATTGACCTGTCCATCTCTGAAAAATAGTTCAAAATATATTTAAATATCAGAAATCACCACCAGTCTGCCATATTCAATAAAATTGTCATAAAAAAGTCATCATACATAATCTTTATGTTACGTTTGAATAAGCTAAGTCATAGCATGTCTGGGAAATGGCACACGCGAACTGGCAGATGCACCTACCCTAAATTAAAAAGATGCTACTACATGTATTTTGTCAACATGATTCTAACTTGCATTTATATTATCAGATGCAAGCTTCATAATTCTTTTGGTACATGAATAATCAACAGTTTTGGAATCAGGCTGATATTTGACAGACTAAGCAGGATACATGTGTGTACTGTAAAATACTTTATATTAGCTGGAATTAATTCTCGCTTCAAAGACTTTTTAGGTGTTTTGTATGGAATTTATTTTCACTGATGTTTGGTGAGTTGAATGTAAAATATAGAAAAACAGGTATATTCACTGGATTTTATTTTTACTGAATCATTCCTTCAGGAAAAATAGCAAAAATAAATTCTAAGCGAAAATAAAGTATTTTACAGTAACTACATTGAAGGAAACAATATGATGAATTTACCTGTAGTGCTCTAGTGAGATCACTAACAAAGCAATGCGTGTACTTTTGACTCTGTAGTCTTCTACCAAGCAGAGCAGCTTGCTTCAACCCTTCTTCCGAAAGCGGAATATCTTGTTGTCCTGTAAGAAAACCATGCACAAATCATTATACTACATGCTGTTGAAATATTTACTGGGTTCAATTTTAACCAATTCAACGTAGCAGGTATACACTGCTACACGTACAGTGTACATGTATTAATGATAACAATATTGCTCTTAACCTAACCAAGCCATGTTAGTTTTCAGAAATAAACATTTATTTGAAACAAATTAACAAGCTAAACATTTTACTTATTTGTTCTCTTCATGTATGTTACCAGAAAATCCAACATTATATTCAGTAAAAGTAAAAAAAAAATCATGGCCAGGTGAGAACTGTTGCCACTAATAATTTGTAGGATATCAATATAGTCATATTGGGCAGTGTGTTCTGTCTGTACCACAATTCTATGGTAGGGTTGTTGGGCGACGATTCTTGTGTTTGAGATAAGGATACCTACAAATGGGATTTATTTCGACAATGAGCTGTTATCACTGTAAACAATGTTAAATTATTCTTCAAATGCTCAGTTTATCTTTTAAAACAAACTAATTTTTTGATTAAAAAAAAAAAGTTACGTAATTTTTTCATCAAAATCCAAGCCAAAAGATCGTACTACAACATCGACAAACCTCTTCCGCGTTGCGTCAAAAACATTAATATATTTAAATGAGCTATGGTAATTTGGACAAGTTGGCATCATGATTTGACCTGTCAGGTCAAAGAACCCCGTGGCGGATACTAGTATTTTCTAGCATCGAGCATTTAATATGGCAACTGGAATCATTCACTTACGATGAAACTATGTTGAAATGAACAAATTTATTTCTGTATGTTATTACAGTCAATACTAAGTACCGGTAAAAATCAACAATTGCGAAACGCAGCATGACCGGATTGTGCCACCGCGATCATTTGCTACTAAGCAATGCAGTTGTGTTAGTTTTTATTTGAATCTTCTTTTAGAATTAACTTACATTACTAATAAAAAAAAAAAAATTGTATTTGGCGTACCAGGTTCCTTAATGTGATTTTTTGTTGTTGAAAAAGATGACACTGGGTTACATTGTAATGAAATTTGAGGCGTTCTACTTTCTAATTCAAGAAAAAAATGTATAACATTTTAGATTAGCTTCTGCAATAGTTTTATTTTGTCTTGGGTGGTCCAACTGCCGGTGCTGAAAGTCATCATAGATGAATTTTTTTAATAAAAATAGAAGTCGCAAAAAAATATTTGATGATCATTTTTTGAAATTTTGAACCCCAAATAAGAGCCCATCAGCAGTGATATCACCCCGGGTGATTTACTGGATGTGCCAATTTACGACAAAAGCTGGTATATAGCAGGGGTACCCCCCTCTACACACTGTAGAATTTAACATATGTTTTACTGCTAAAAATTTAAATATTGAATTATTGACAACAATGTGGTATTGGTATTGTACATGTATCAAAACCTTAATGGGCATCCCACAAAAAAAAATGCAATGTTGACCTTTGACCAACTACATTCCAAATATCGTCATTAAATTTATTCAGCTAATAGCACACTTGTCTGCTTAGTATTTTATGATTGGCTGCTTTAGAAAGGTCATATAAATCTAAATCTGTTATGGTTGGGACATGGCTATTACACTGGAGTAAAGTGTAGCTACACTGTACAGCAAAGATACAAACATGTAATGCTATTTTGGGGGAAGGAATCCACTGTACAACAAGTCATTCAAAATCACACAGTCCCTGCTAAATTTTTGGAAGTTCTCTTTGTGCTCGTCATATTAAAGCGGAGGGGTTGTCGCGAGCGTGTCCTTGAAACTTGAGTTCCAAGTAGCGTATACAACAGATTGTTTATTTACATCAAAACATGTGTTCCGTGTAGTAGTAATATGGCCAAAAATAAAAACAGCCGTTATTCGGCCATCTTTGATCTGATTATGAAACACACTGATATGTATGATGTACAAAAAATGTATGTGCCAAATACAAATGAAAATGGTACATAAATTGTGGAAATATAGTAGTAAGGCCAAAAAGTCAAATGGCTGTCAATCGGCCATCCTTGACCAGATTTTGAAAGAGATTGTCATGGACAAGCATCCGAACATATATAAAGTACATGTATGTGCCAAATTTGAATAAAAACTGACAAGATACCGCATAAAAAACAAACAAACAAGATGCCTGCCAGTCGACCATCTTTGATCCAATTGCGAAATAAATCGTCATGGACATGTATCCTAACATGTATAATCTATGTACATTTGTACCAAGTTTGAATGACAACTGACAAAGCATGTCCAAAATACAACATTTTCAAAAAACAAGATGGCTGCCAGTCGGCCATTTTGAATCGAATCGCTAAACCACTGCATGTGCATATGTCCTACATAAGATACTAGGCACATGCAAAGAATGTACGAAATCGGTCCACAGGATTCTGAAATATGACGTTGGACAGACTGACGCACGGACGGTCGGACGGACAGACTCAGGAACTCACGGATGGTCGGGACATGTATACTAACATCTATGATCTATGTACTAAATTTGAATGCAAACTGACAAAGCATGTCAAAAATACAACATTTTCAAAAAACAGGATGGCTGCCAGTCGGTCATTTTGAATTGAATCGCTAAACCACTGCATGTGCATATGTCCCACATAAGATACTAGGCACATGCAAAGAATGTACAAAATCGGCCCAAGGGATTCTGAGATATGACTCCGGACGGACGGACGCACAGACGGACGGAGACCGAATTATAAGTCCCCGTTTTCGAACTTCGTCCAAAGGGGGACTAATAAATGCAATTGTGGGAATATGCACTTCTACAATGTACATGTACAAATGATAGATCTGACACTACGCAAGTTAAAAATTAATGTGCATTTCATAATGTAGTGTAGTGTAGAGCAAAATCAAATAGAAATGCAGATAAATCTCTAAAGTTAACCATCAGAGCAATTTTATAAATAGGTTACATATGTAACAAACTACAAGTTGTGATTTTGTCAGTTACGTTACGACATGATACATGTGAAAAGAGCCTAAAATTAATTGGTTTAATTTGAAAATGATGTAAATTATTGTTATAGAAACTCTGGTTGATGGATCCAGCTCTTTACTGCCCAATCAAAAGATTCAATATAACCAAGGTCAATAACGGCTTTTCCTAACAGACATAGAAGGCTGACTTTACAACGCGTGTAAAATACATTTTTTATTTACATGAAATTCGAACACGTGCTGCGCGATGACCACCGCCCTTTAAATAAAATGGGCTACATACACACTATTAAAGTGCCTGTGAAATGTCTGCTATTTTCACGCCTAAAATTATCCATTGATACATAAATATTATTAATTTTTATGTTTCTAAGCATAAATAATTATTTATAAGTAAAAAAAATGTGTTTTAAGTACAGTCTACAGAAATTTTTTTTTGTGTATTTTAAAACGAGGCTCCTCATTAGCTTCTCGTTTCCATACAGAAATTTGCCTTGTGACGTCAAAAGGGGAAGTCGCTGGGCAGCTTGCATTGCCGATACGTGTAAATAAGGCAAATTTCTTGTGCTGTTTTCTCGTCTTTGACTAAATTGCCACTTATGTATTTGTTCGTCGAGGAAGAGTGGACCATAATGAACACATAGTATCAAGTTTGTTGTTTGGGGTTGAGTCAGATGCGAAATATGTCCGGTCTGGTGTAGCTAGTCACTGTGATCGTCACTGTCACCGCAGCACGTTTGTACACTGTCGCTGGACTCCGGCATTGGACAAAATCAAATTTGACGGCTGAATGGTCTTGTTATTTAGCAGTTACTAGACACTATTGATTTATAAAATAGAGAAATAATTAAAAAAACGACAAACACAGTTACTAAATAAATGACTGCCGCGTTGTAA